ATCTAAGATAACTAATCTAATTGGATTAATGAAGAATTTTATTTAAATATTATTATTTTAAGATGTTCTGGATATTTATTATCTGAATCAATATGATAAAGTAGTTCTTTAATAATAATTGAGTATTATTCTATTGTTTTAGTCAGCAATTATTTTTGTTGATTCAATTGTTATTGTCATTTATAGATTTTATCAGCAGTTTTAAAATCTTTAGTAAATTAATCTTTTCTATCTTTAAAATATTAAAATATGTAAAATTTTTAATTAAAATATAATAACTCTTTTCCTAATCAAAATACATAAAGAACACATGATCTATATTTAAAAAATTATAAAAGCTCACTAAAATAATAACAATATTACTAATTCTAATTATTATTAGTATTAATTTCTGAATTCATAATTATTATTATCATTAATTTAATTAAATACAAATATTACTATATTTTTAATATTAATACAAGTATTAATATCATTATTATTAATACAAGTATTAATATTATTAATACAAGTTTAAGAACTAATAATATTTAAGATATAAATGTTCAATAAAATAATAATTTACTAAAAATAATTATTCTATAAGAATATTACTAATTATAGTTTAATAATAAATAAGATTTTTATTATTTAATAAAATTATTCATTAAATATTATATTATGATAATAACAAAATTTATTCATCAAGCTTATTCATCCTTTTATATAATTAACATTTTATCTGAATATGTCAATATATTTAAGATTTTGTTTTATAAGAACTCATATATTTTTTACCAAAATTAACACTATAATTATTATCACCAATTTTATTATTTGATTTGTCAATTAAGATTGCAAATACATTTGGAATACCAGATATAATTATTAAATACAATGTGAAAAATACAATTTTATTATCAAATAACAAAAAAGCAACTCTTTTAACAACAAATCTGGTCATTTCAATATTCTTTCACATATTTTTTTATTGAACAACTATTTGCATATATTCTGATTCCAAATTATGTAAATGTAATTTACCAATTAAATTCCATATTAATAATAAATGTCCAATCAAAGAACTTGTCAACATTCTAGATAATCAAGCAACTATCAAAATGCTTTCTTTACAACTCTTTCCAGACATTTCCATACTTGAATCAGCCTTAGCATAATTTTAAACAGATATTGATGACTAATCACACCATGATTATTATTTTAGATTTTCTGGTGATTCAATTTAATAAAAACTAGTTATAAAATTACAATGTAATTTATAAATTAGAACATGACTACACTATAGCATAATAAATAATAATAATAACAATAATGTAGTGGCTAATCGCATCTCTTTATAAGAACGTCCGGATGAATCAAATATATTATAGTAAGCTGAAACCTAGAAGTTTCGCTAAATTTAGTATAGTTTCCTTACAATTGAATAAATTTACTTTTGGAATAATAATAATAATAATGTTATTTATCAAACAACATAATTTTGTATTAAATGAGATTTTTCCATCAATGCTTAGGAAGCGCTGATTTTTTGAATTCATAAAAATGTGGTCTTGTATAATAAAAAATATCGATCATAAATATTAATATCAATAGAATCAATAAAATAAGCGTCAAAAAAAAACTTACGCCAGTTCCGCTAACCAAGCCGGATCAATTACTGTAAGATCTCTCATGAATGGTTTAGTTGTTTCTACAACTATAGATAATAATACACGAAGATGAGCATAAATATTTAGAAAAGCTAAGAATTATAAAGATTATTTATTATACATACCTTCGTGAAATATAACCCACTCAACAGCCCGTGTAAAGAGAACGGAGGATGGGTGTACATGTAGCTCCTATTATTTGTCAATTAAAAGTTTCTTCATTAAGATAATTGAAAAAGAGAGCACTCGAATAAAAAATTGAAATTTACCACATTATCCCTTATAGTTCTAAACGACCCATCCGGCATCATCTTTGCAGCATTAGCAAAATATCCACTAACCAAACATTTGCGAATTTTGACGGTATCGTTGCCACATGACTCTAGTGGCACGTCAAACCGCTTCAAGTATTTTGTCAACTGTTGACGAATTGACATAGCACGTTGAAGAGTACGAAAATTAAGGCCGTGTTCATGACACCAACGGCCAGACTTTTTCCCGCGTGTTACAAATGCATTGTATACTAGAATGTCAAAAAATAATACAACGTGATGTTATTGAAATACAAATTTTCGGGAGTAAATAAATCAGATTGCCATGATAATGACCGTTTAATAGAGTTATGTGATCTCCTTCCTCGACTGCGAATTTTCTTTTTGACTCATCCACTTTGCTAGAAGATAATACAAATACATTCTATATCAAATTAGTTTTTCCATGGCAATTATAACAGCAACTAAACATGATATTTAACATAGCTTTTAAATCAAGCTTTACTTGTACTGATATCATGGCAGCAATAGTGAGCATTTCTTCTGCACAGTTGAATTTATACGAATCTATAAGCTAAATTTCACAGAACAATACGTTACTATTATTCGCAAAAAGTTTGACCTCAAAAAAAAATATACCTACTATTTTTCCAAGCATAGAATCAACGGGGAATTCAGCAAGTTGCATCCCAAGTGGAACTGTCAGTCTGCCATAATCATCCAATGCTTTCAAAGAATATAGTAACTATAAAGGAGCTTTGATAAGTAATATTTTATCTACTCGTGAAATCTAAGGAATTTGTTACATCATAAAATTAACCTCCAAAGCGCGTATCATTAATTCTGCTGGTGGAGAAGTCATAAAATCAAAACGCAATACATTGTCAATTCCAAGTGCTTTCAATTGAAGCACAACGGGAGCGAGATTACTCCTTTAATGGATTAAACAGAAATCAATAAACAATGAAAAAATAATAAAATTTGCTCTTCCTCATTAAACAAAAAAAAACCTTTGCATTTCCGGCACACTGGCGTCCTGAAATTCATAAAAACTATCTTCAGTATAGAGACGATACACTTTGCCTTGTCTTACCCTACCAGCACGACCGGCCCTTTGTTGAGCTGACGCTTTTGAAATGGACGTGACAGTTAAACTTTCCATCCCGGTTTTTGGATTATACGCGCGAATCTATAATGGCTTAATAGTGAAATAATCCTGGAAATGGCTGCAATTTATTTTTGGACATAATGTTTTAACTTACCTTTACAAAGCCACAATCAACCACGTACACAATACCTTCAATGGTAATTGAGGCTTCCGCGATAGTAGTTGCTATTATTACTTTACGCGTGCTGCGAGGTGTAGGCTCGAATACGAGCATTTGCTGTTCTGCTGTCAAGCCTGCGTATAGTGGTAATGGCGTAATTTTCAGGGCTGAGCGCGGAAGACTTGAATAATTGAAACAAAGTTGATGAGTTTATTTGTGCATCATATAAAAAATCCTTAATGAATAATTAAATTACGTGGTGGCTCTATCCGTTATTTCCTGTACCGCGTGTTCAATTTCATCTCTACCAGTCAAAAATACCAGAATATCTCCAACAGGTTGCTTTTATGTACAAATATAAATATATATATATAAATATATTTGAATCGTGAATCAATCCAAAAGCTAATGATAACAACAGCGCCACACCTTTGTATGAATATCAAAAACAGTTTGGATTGCCTTCTCAACGTAATCTGAACATGGGTCCTCGAGGTAATGTATATCAACAGGAAACATCCTTCCCTCTAACGAAATTATGGACGCGTCGTCTTTACTTTTATCATTGATAGTATTTGTATTATAGAATTCGTAAAAAGCTTCGGCGTCTAATGTTGCAGAAGAGATGATAATTCGTAATTCAGGACGTTTCTTTTTTATTCTGTAGACAAATAAAGAAAATATTCTCAATTTTTGTTTCAAGAGAACTATTGACTAAAGACTAAGATGGGATAACAGAATAAATAAACGAATGGACATACTTTTTTAGCAATCCCACTAGGATATCGGTATACAAGCTTCGTTCATGTGCTTCATCAATCATTATGACACTGTACTGTGAAAGTAACGGATCAATCAGAGTCTCACGAAACAGCATACCGTCAGTCATGTATTTTATCCGTGTTTTATGTGGATCTGAGCAATCTTCAAATCGGATACTGTATCCAACCTTTTTATCATTGAGAGAAATCAAAGTGTTAGAGAAATTTAATATCGAAAAGAAACCATTCGATAGATTGAATCCAGAATCTAAATTCTACCTCCTCACCCAATTGTACATTCATTTCTTCGGCGACACGTTGAGCAACAGTGGTGGCAGCAACACGACGTGGCTATTTGATGACAGTTATTACAGTTATTTATTTATTAAGTATGAGAGCATAAGTCGCATCGCGATCAAATACCTGTGTGCAGGCCACTACTCGACCGCCAGAAGTCCATCCCGCCTCGTGAAGATATTGCGGTATCTCTGCACAACGTGACATATATAAATTATTAAATTGATTTTATTCTCATAATATCTATTATTTCATAAAGGATGCGCTAAATTTGAATACGTGTTGTTTTTCCGCATCCGGTCTGTCCAACGATAATTGTGGTCTGATATTTTTCAACGAGATAAAGAACATGATCACCTAATAAATTCCAAATTAATATAAGCCATTAACAGAAATTGAAGGGTTCTTAAGGGCAAGAGTATATTTCAGTTTTCGCCGGCTAATGAACACTAACGTGACTTGAATATAGGTAATCGCTGCCGCTGCTGTTGTATAGAGAATGTAGAGACACTTGGGTTCACAAAAGTGATGAAATTTTCCCCTGTTTCTTTCTCAGTTTCTCGGTCGAGACTAACACCGGGCGCAGTTGCTCCTGGTTTCCAAAATGCCATGATATAAAGTCAAGAACGGAAGGGTAAATGCTCTTTATTTCGTCGATCTTTGATTCATAAATGGAAAGTTAACTAACTGCACGTGCCAAATTTTCCGCACGAAAATTATAAATAAGAGACGATCTTTACTTTTATTTAATTAATGGCAGAACGTCAAGGAAAGAAACAAGAGGAGGAGCAGCAGCGTAAATTTAAAAACGAACAGGGGTTAAAAAAAGGTGGATCTTTTAATAGTAATAATAACTATAATATCACCGAAGCTGAAGAACAAGAAGTAGGTTCTTTTATTGTCTTTTGAATTTTTTCTTTACAACACCTCTTCTCCTAAACCTTATCTACATTGATTCAAGTACTACTCAGAAGAATTTGAGAATTATAGAGAGCAAGAAGAAGAGACGGAAAGAGACAATCAAGACGAACATTATGAAGAAGAAGAGGAGGAACATGAGGAATTGGAGGAAAATGTAGACGTATGGGACGATAGCGCGTTAATTTCTGCGTGGGAAAAAGCGTGGAAAGAATATCAGGTTATTAATTAATAGTGATAATAATACAGATGCTTGAATTATCAAATTTGGTTTGATCTATTAAAATCAATTATAAAAACGCGATTAATAGGACCACCATAGTCTTAAAGCAACATCGAAAACTGCAGCAGCAGCAGCAACATCTTCGTCATTTAGTGTAGACCAAAAAAACGACAAGCAAAAGCAAGCTATACAAGATGACAGTCTTAAAGTAACATCGAAAACCGCAGCAGCAGCAACATCTCCATTTAGTGTAGACCAAAAAAACGACAAGCAAAAGAAGATTATCATCGATACTGATAAAAAAAAAGTGATAACCTCTAGTCCAAACATCGAAACCACCACTAATATACCTAACGACGAAGAAACAACAACATATCAACAGTATTCACATTATCCACATTATCAGCATTATCCAACAACATCATCGTCGTCTTATTACAATTACCCATCTAATACTGCTATGCAAGATGAGACAACACAGCATCATTATCCTCCTCAGACTCCACCACCCCCTTTACATCAAGGTTATTATCCGTATGGCCCTCCTCCCCTCTCGCAATCATACGTGCGTTTTTAGACTTTGAAATATAATATTTCCCGTTATGTCGAGTTTTGGAATTTTACATATTGTTTCATATGTGTAGGATCCTTATTACGCGTCTTATAATACTTCTGGGCATAGAACACAAAAGGTATATATATATAGTCTTAATAATTAGAGTATTTACTATTTAATCGAATCTAAATTGATGGCTCGTCATATATAGGGACCTCCACCACCTCAGCCACCAATGATTGAAACGGGTGTGGATATTTTTTTCGTACATCCATTCACCTTTGTCATTTGATACTAAATATTTTGTTGGTTCTGGTTAGATGATGAAGCTCTCGCCAATTTATTAATGGCGTGGTATTTTTCTGGCTACTACACAGGATTGTATCAAGTTAGTAGTAGTATGAAGATTAAGATTGGTTTACTTTTTTGTTTTTTATAATTTATCTTGTTTCAATCACTTCTTTTCTTTTTTAGGGTAGAAGACGAAAAGGATGATGGAACTCGCATAATGATGAAATGAGTTCTATAAAGCTTCGTTTTATTCGAATGCAAATATAACAACAATAATAATAGTGTAACGAAAAAATAATACTTAAAGATGGAACAAACAAAACAAAACCAAAACTGTGTCAAAAACGTTGATATATGCATAATAAATGTATATAAGTAATTTCTATTAATGAAGATGGTTAAGAATTACAATAAAAGTATGAGTACTAAAAATTATCAGATGAATATAATAAATAGATTACATAAATGCGGAGGTGTGGGATAAATAATTAAAAGTATTTTCTTTTTAGTATCCATTCAATCCACTCGATAATAACCTCATCTTTTTCAAGGTCATTGTGCACTAAATCGAAAGTGAAGATTATTTTACGTAAATGATATAGAAAGCAAAATAATGTAACAACTTACATTCATGATATCCTCCTTTCCATTCACGGAAAGTTTTATCGCTTGACGGGATTTTGTCGAAAAGCTCTTTGGAGGTTTTGCAACAAGTGATTTTATCATCATCTCCGTGTACCATGTATATTGGCTTTGTGATATTTTTGTATTTTGATTTCAATACGGCTTTCGGACCCAATAACATGTCTCTGACTGTAATAATCATAGTAACAAATGTGTCAAGTCAATAAACATAAAATTAATGAATATTAAATACATTAATAAAAAATACTCACTTCCGCCCAAAGAACCAATACTATGAATAAGCGGATCATCCTCATACTTCTTGACCTCCTCAGGCACGCGACTCGTATATTCTGGAAAGAACTTTACGCCAATTTGAAAGCTCGGTAAAACTTTCGACACTGCAGTTCCCAGGTATACGATGGATTGCGAAGGTTTGGTAGAAGCAGGTTGGTCCAAAAAGGGAGCAGAAATTAGAAAGCCAGCTACATTGTCTCGTTCTGGTCCTTCTGTCGCATAGTTAACAGCGAGTGCGCCACCCTATATATATATCGAAATTAAGGTAAAGCCATACAAAGTGAAATTAGATACCCGGGATCCGGATTTTTGTGTTAAATTTCTAACAACAATGAGCTCTTTATGGTATGCCACTAATGACGACATATATGCGTTTAAAATTTTGGTTATGAAACCTAATTACCATACTGTGACCAAATAAAAACTGAGGAACGCCCTCACGCCTTCTCAGACGAAGAGCATGAGTGATATCTTCAGTCGCGAGTTTCCAGCTCGTCACACCCGGATTCTTATTACGTGCCGCGGTTTGTCCAAACCCGCGTTGGTCGTACGCAAAAACTTCTATACCATTTCCTTGAAATTTGTCAAATACGTGGTCATATCGATTTACATGTTCGCCAAAACCATGAACAAATACAACTGTGGCAACTGGTGGTTCGGAATTTGCCTATTTAATACGCAAACAGTCATTCGATGGTTCTGACATTTTTGCTAGATTTCTTATCCTAAAAGAACGTTTTTTTAAATACCTTCCAAGTTTTTGTGTAAAATTCTACACCGCCTGGAAAGGTTACCCATTGTTCGACTACGTTTTTCGTTGTTACTGTTGCAGGCATTTTATTTTAACGTGTTTTATATGAGAAAAGTAATTTGGAGTTGTTGAAGGATTTTTGTTAATGAATGTTTTATTGATTTAGTTGTTAAATTGCAAGAGGTTTTTAGACGGTGTTCCTATTAATGGATGATTTTAAATTACCAAGATACCACATGATATCCATTCTGATATTCATTGTTTTCACATGTTTATCGTTAGTGTCCATAATTTGATTTCCTAAATCGGAAAAAGAAGAAAATTCTAGTGTTATTAGACCAGTGTTGTCACTTGGACGCAAATCCAGCAATTTGATTGGTCTGGACAAGTGTCCAGACCAATCAAATTGCTGGATTTGCGTCCAAGTGACTTTCTCAATTTCTTAATTGCGTGTATCAAATGTCGTCATTTTCCATTATCATCCGCACGTGATCTTAATTAAAAATGTGCTAATAAAAAATTTCGATGAGGTAACTCTAACCTTGACCCTAATTTAAGATTACCGAAGTATCAATATGCGCAAAGTAGATTATCGAAAAACAAATTTTTACGGTAATGGTAAAAGTTTCTTTTGTTTCCTTTTTGGATAATAAAGAATCTATATCGATATATAAAAAAGCGTGTCTTTTATATATTTTTCCTATTTAGAACATGCGCAGAAATGAATGACAAAGAAAATAAATAATCGGCGCTTTTCAAAAATATTAACCGCGCTCACACAACTGTATATGATACTATAAACCGTTATAAAAAAACAGGTTATTCACATCCTAAAAAATAAGCAGGTTGATCCAAAATTATTTCTGTTCATGATTAAATTGATACAAAACCAATATAATTGGAATAAAGAATGAAAACATATTATATGATCTAAGGAGTTCCAATTTACATCATTTAAGATTGCATTTTCATTTTCTTCATTAAGATTTTATTTCCAATAGAGAAAGATTGTGACTAATTGTCTTGTTGGTGAGTTTCTTTCTGCTTTGTTGTGATTTTTCAACATTTTGCTGGGTTATTGTTCAGTCTAATTATATTTTAATTATAGTACAAGCTCATTTAATTATTTCATTTGAAGTTATTTGATCTTTATTTTCAAATAGTAATAAAATCTAGTAGTATGATTACTTGTCTTTCATAAGTAAGATAAAATAGAATAAATTTTGTAGAATTTTGTTGCATTGTTTTATAAATTAGATGAATAAGTAAAAGATAGGAATGCTTATGATAAAAATTATATTAAATTAATAGTTAAGTTTAATAGAGAATTTGTAATGTTTTGGAATTGTTTTAGTTGAATTACTAATAATTGTCAAAGAAAATATAAATTCTGAGGTTTATATTAATGTTCTTACAAATAATTTTTTATTATAAATTTGTAATAATCTAAATATTGTATTTCAACAAAATTGAGTATTATATTATATATTTTATATAGCTTGCTAAATAATATTTTTTTAGATTGGATTTTACAAAGTTCAAATTTAAATCCAATTAAGTATTTGTGAAATCACTTAAATTATTAAATCAAAAAAGAAAATCTTTATCAAAATTAAAACAGAAATTAATTAGAGTTATATAGAGACAATAAATAAATATTAATATAAAAGTTTTATATTATTTAATTTTAAGCATATTTAAATATATTTAAAATGTTATTAAGATTAAAAATAAATATATTAAATATTAGTTTTTTTTAATTTTATTAATAAAAATACAGTTAAATTTTTCTATAATTATATATATTTATAATTTTATTTATATATAAATATAATAAAAAAATTATCTTTATAATTATATTTTCTTTATAATTATTTAAATTTACTTATTTAATAATAATAACTAAAAAAATTTGATTATATTATTATTTGATATTAAATTAAAAAAATATTTAAATTAAATTTAAAAATTATTATTTTTTATATATATTATTGTAATTTAATATTTTATAAATATAATTATTATAAATAATTATTATATATAATTATTTCAAATAATTATCTACTATTTATTAAATATTTATAAATATTATATTGTCATTATGTGATGAATTCAGCACCTGATATAAGATATATCATGTTACTTATAATATATTTCTATTGGATAGTTAGTAAATATATGATCTATGAATTATAATTTTATACTAATTCTTTAGATTTCATACTATTTCATTCTAATTTTGTTATATTTCATACTATTTTATCTTATATCTTTTATATTTCATAC